AACAGCAAAGCATTTTAAATAGTAGAAAAGCGTTGCTACAATCAGACTGATTCTCTTTTGGGAGCTTACATACTCTGTGGTGTTTGCATCATTTAATTTAGCTTTTTTTTCAGAGTGGTAATGTGCTAGATGGCGTTTCAACCTAGACTGTGTACGCTCTCAAGTTTAGAGGTGGAAACTGTGGGAGAATCTACAGAAGGCTGGAGAAAAGTAATGCTGAAGCAGAGTTGGTTAACATGCAAAAAATCACTTTGGCAGCACTTAAATTATTATGTAGGTACTTTATAGATTTTAGGGTTTCCATGAAAGTCTGATTCAGAATAAAAAAAAAGTAGATGGCGTTTCAACCTAGACTGTGTACGCTCTCAAGTTTAGAGGTGGAAACTGTGGGAGAATCTACAGAAGGCTGGAGAAAAGTAATGCTGAAGCAGAGCTGGTTAACGTGCAAAAAATCACTTTGGCAGCACTTAAAATTATTATCTAGGTACTTTATAGATTTTAGGGTTTCCATGAAAGTGTCATTCAGAACAAAAAAAAGTCTCTCCTCCCTGCACTAATTCTTATGTGTCTCTGGAGGTGGGTGGTGGGACAGACAGAAGATGCAGAAGACCAATCCCCATGGAAAGCACTGGTAATGAGGAGGCCATCAGATTTCTGGACCTGGAGTGCTTACGAGGCCAGGGACATCAACCGCTGGAGTCTGCTACATAAAAGAATCAAGCCAAGACTCAAGAAGGGCAAGAACAATAAGCACATCATCCTTTGCTGGAGCAGACTACTTTGCAAAATTAACCTTCCACAAGTAAGCTGCCTGTAACTCAGGCTCATCGTGATGCTTCTGGACCACTTTACCAAAGCACTGCTCCCCTCAGTATTCACTGTCACACCCCACAAATGGGCAGAGTGAGAAGAGAATGACTTGCAGTCTGACAAAACCCATCTAACAGGAGGGAAATGATCTGTCCTGCATTTTGTTGATCTCACTGTACGTCCCTCCTTTTGAGTTCTCCTATGAAACAGTGCTTAGCCTCTTAAGAATCAACTCACAACTCGCCTACTGAGATAAAAACTTACCCAAGTAAAATAACAGCTAGAACCATCAAGCTCAAATTGGTCATTTTCAAAAAAACAGAAACATACTCTGTTATCTGTTATGGAATGTACCACTTGGAGCCCAGTGTGGCTGCCTAAAGGGGGAGGGGTACGTGGGTAGAATCACCAAAACACTGGCTACCTGTGCTGCTTCAAGAAAGTAACGGCAGAGCAATCATCAGTCTGTGGTTCTAGTCTGTATGAGATTCAGGTATGACTTCTACAGTAAGTGATGCACAGCCCCTTCTCAGGAACTGCAAATAAGTAAGCCTGCATGGTGCATGGGAACACCGAGTCAGGGAGTCTCACCTGTCGTGCAGGGTAGCTAATCACCTAGTCACTTCTTCAGAGTGACCACACTGAGCTGCTTGTCCGCCTCCCCATTGCTCTTCAGAACGTATCCCCGGTGACTCCTGGCCGTATGAAGACAGCTGAACGTGGCTGGTAAAGTCAGGAAGATTGGAGACTGGAGTCAAAACAAGTAGTGAAAGGTGGAGGCGGATGTCAGAGGAAAAAAATTTCTCCTAAAACATTCAACATCAGGACTTAATCTACAGGTTTGTGCATCTCCCACTGATGTTGATAAATATAACTCATGTGAAATGCTGATTATTTTCAGAGATTAATACACTGGCTCCTATTTGTAGTTTGTCTACTGCTCGGTGGTGACCTTTTAAATTCAAAACCTTCAAAAAATAAAAAAGCCACCTACCCAGAGTGATCTAATCTGAGTTGTGTGAGATGCAACCGACAGCTCTGACTGTGTATGATGAGGCCAGCCATCTTTTTGCACAAGCAGGAATCTTCCATCCCACCTAAACAAGCCCTTTTTCTGGTTCAATTGTTTCTCTCCATCCTTCACCTCAGATATATATCTGAACTGTAATCTCTCCAGCCTCCCTTCTCAACAGCTGCAAATGAACTGCAGGGATCCCAGCACACTCTGTAACAGGTGGCTCAGCGCCTCGCTTCGCATTTTTTTTTAATGCCGCGCTGAATCCTGATGCTTGCAAGTGCTCTCAGATTTACAGTCATGTAGGAAGTAATGGGGTGAAACAGAGTATGCCAGATAACAGAGGAAAAGGACAAGGAGGAGAAATGACCTGCAGTCTCTGAGATGCAAGACCGCAGAGGGAAGGAGTAACATCACTGAATTTTAGGAGCTTTCAGAAACGTGGCAAAGTCATGGCCATTGTGGTACTTTCCTTCTGAGAGAGGCAGTATTCCTGTCAAACTCCTGGCAAGTTTCTAAATGAATTCTACTTCGCCTACACCAAGGGTTTGGTTTTGGTTTTTTGTTTTTTACAGCTCATTTTATTTCAGATGACTAATGTATTTTAAATCTAAAAACAAAGCAGGTAACTTTCGCTTATCACAAAACCTGAGCTCGTAAGCAATCCCAACCTATTTGGTGCTTCCCTGTGTAGCACTTCCAGGACCAGGAGCACTGGGGGCTGCAGATACCTCTTCATGTTGCAGAACCAGGACAGGTTCAGCAAGCTTGGCCATGTTCCTGCTAGGGGTGAGGAGGCAGTGGTGGGTAGGGGACTCGTAGGAGCAGCACGAGCTGCTGCCTATCTAATCCCACACACCACCATGCTCATGTGCTGTACCTACACAGCTGCAGACTGGTGCTAATGCTGAAGTTATTTAGCCCTTGAAACACCATGAATCACAGTGCACGGACAGGCAAGCGGCTACGCAGCACCAGTTCTGTGAGGCCGGATATGCCTACACCTCACTCCCCAGGGTATCACATATTTGCGTTATCCAAGTCTAAATGCACATATCTAATGTCTAAAAAGGGATTGACTGCCAAATGATACAAAATGGAAAGTAAACAACCAAAAAAATCTTTTCCATTGCTACTCAAAGTAGCTCATCTACACAGTGGTAAAAAGGGGGCTGTATTGTACATCCACAACAAGTAGCATTGGGCCATGAAAATTTGTGTGGCTCACAGCTAAGAAACTGGAAGATAGTTCTCTCATCTCTCTCCTCATCTTCCCACAACTGGACCCAAAAAGAACTTGAAGTTTAAGACATAAATACAACACACAAAGACTCTTCTCAAACAGTTTAATAGCAAATAAACAAAGGAAGGTACCACACTTGGCATATACAAAATGACTTGTTGTCGGTGTGTCTGTGCAATTAAAACAGCTTTAAGTTGCCCTTTGGGACAAAAAAAAAAAAAAAAACCACACACACACACAAAAGGAAGAAAATTCCTTTAACACATACTCGCTCGTTCCAAACCTGTAACAAATCTTTTCATTTTTAAATCCACTACACAAACTCTGCCATCAGATCAGAAAAAGCAACACGTGCTCCTCTGCTTTTTAAACCATTAAAGTAAAATCCGTAGTTCTCTACAGAGTACAACACAATTCCACACAAAGGACATTCTGTTTTGCAAATCAAAACAAGAAAAAAAAAAAGGAACAGCTCAAACAAGGTAAAGAAAAGCATTTCTACGACTGAACCACGACTTCGAGTTGATTAAATCCCGTTACTGCAGAACAGACTCTACATTTGGTCATAGTGGCAATTTGTTTTCTCGTCACATTGTGAATCACTTTACATTGTTTTCTAGTAGAAAAGGCAAAAAACTGTACAAAACCCCTAGTGTTAAATACAATGTTTGTACCAATAAAAAAGCCCACAGGTTTGTCTCCAAAATGTAAATTTTCTTTTTAAATTATTCACAAAAAGCAGCCAAAAATCAGAAAGGCAGCTGCTGCTCCACTGTCTCAAATCCATTAAAACCACCACAGAACAATTAAAACAACCAAAGGAAGAAAAGGAAAGAAGAAAGGAAAGAAACATCCAATGTTTGGCATTTTGGTTTTCTTCAGGTATTTTTCCACAGGTTTCCCCAGAGTTCCTTACAGAACCAAATGCACACGTACGGAAACGTACTGGCAGATACTCGATACCCTGCAGGGTACTGGCGCCCCCCCCCCCTACACACAGCCCTGTGCATTCAGACTGTGGGACTAACAGCAGCCAGCCCACAACCCTGTCTCCCAAATAAACAAGTCTCTATCCTCTTTTCATCCAGCCTCACACTTCACTCCCAGGAATGTACCACATCCAAACATGTTCTGTCTTACAAGCAGATTAAGGACTGTCTACACAAGCCTAGCCGTATCTACCGAGAATACAGATCGTATCCTCAGCCAACTCTGGAGTAGGACAGAAAAATTCCGCATTATCCCAATCAAACACGATCTGTTTTCTCAGTAAAATCCCTTCTGCTGGGATTTCATCTCACATTATATTCTGCTGTAAAGATCCCTACTCTAGCTTGCTTCTCCTTTTGACTGAGACTTCATCACAGCACACGCTCTTCAGGTGCTTTCATCTAGCAGCTACATCCCAGTTTCTACCTGTGCAGATGGTAACGTAGGGTAGGGGGAAGCCTGCTACCCAGAAAGCAGTAACCTGTTCTAGTTCATCCTGCAAGCCAGAAAAACTGCTTAGCTCATTACCCAATTAAAAACAAAACAAAACTAAAAAATCTCCGTAGAGATTCCCCAGCTAAGGCCCTTGAGAAGAGAGCTGGGGACGGTACCCTGTTCAGCTAACAGCTTCAGAGGCTGTTGTATTGTGCTTGTCACTTGGGCAAAGAGCCAGCTGCTGTAGGACCAGGTTTACAAATGCTTTCTCTGGGATATTTCAAACACTTCATTTCAAGAGCTAACGTAGATCCTTCCAGGACTCTGCCACCAAGGTCTGACTGATGGTATCAAACTGGGGCTGGACTTCACAAAAATGCGCCCTGAATTGTAACAAATGCTCATAAAGAGTGTTTCAAAGGAGCCCTAGCTTCAGATCACTGTGGGAACAGAAATACTATGAAGTTCCCCCACCTTGCTGCTCCCCAGCTATCCCCTTCCACCAACACTTCCACTACAGGAACAGTGCAACCAAGCCCCAGGGAGCCCCAGAGAGCGCTGGAGATGGAACAAGGTCCAGGTGCTCTGTCAGGCAGACAGTCTAAGTGCACAGGTAGATGCCCTCAGGTGGCTTTTGATCAGATATTTGTCATACCAAAATCACCAATTTAAAGGATACCTTTGAAACCCATTAAATTGCTCAGTTTTTGCACAAACTATAGAAAACAGAGAGGTGAAGGTGATATATACGAGGGTGTGAGGAAAACAGCAGGAAACATGCAAAACATTTCTGGGCACTACCTTAGTTTGAAAGATTAAAACGGAAACATCACATTTTGCTGAGGAGATTGTAGTTACAAAAAAACCAAGCATGCTGGGGCTTAACAAAATACAACAACTTTGATCAAATTTTCACTGCAGACTGATAATCACACAGGGAAGCAGGGGAAAAAATAAAAATAATAACAACTATTAAAAAAAAAATCAATAAATGCCAGGGCAAAAATGTAGCTACAATCAGAAGAAAATATAGTTCAAGTGTTTTCTGCTGATGCCACTCAAGTCACAAGTTTGAACTCAAAAACACATGCTGTCTCCTCAAGCACAGAAACCAGATCAGCAAAATGTGACTAGGAAGTCTCCTGAAAGATTGAGTCACACCATATAATTGACTTTTTCCTTCAAAACTGTGTTTTTAAAACTAAGCACAGAGAAAAAAACTAAGCCTAGAAAGTGATTGGCTGTATGTTCACAGAAATACAAATACTCCACAAGGTATGCTAGCAAGGCTGCTCTGAAGACAATTACAAAGAATCAGATTCACAAAATCAAGTGGTTATCTTACGAAGGTCTAGAAAAATAGAAATTCTTTTATATTCAAATGCAAGTTTAAATATTCCCCTTCAGCAGTCTTTCTAGCAAAACCAATTTGGCAGCACAAAAACAAAACAAACAAAAAAAAAAAGAAAGAAACATAATAAAAATACACATCAGCATCAAAGGTCAACACAAGGTCAAAGGTGAGAGTTCAAGCATCAGAGAAGCTGAAGAGACAAGGATTTGGACGATGTACTTGAACGCCACATCGACATGCTTTAGGCACAACGATGAACAAACGGCAGGAATCTAGAAAAAAAAACAAACCAGAAAGAGGGAGACCAACTGAGTTACACAGAGCAGTACATCCAAACACGGAGAGAGAGAACAAGAATGGGCACTGTACAATGAGATCTCCTGGGGAAGGGAGTTGACAGGGAAGGGCAGCACATGCTAACGATGGACAAGTAAAAGTCGAAGTACATGAAGGACACCAAGTAAACGTCAAACTGCCAGAAACTAAATGGAAGCAGAGGCCTGGATTTCCCCCTCAACACCCAGTCTGCGGAGCACTCCACAGCCTCGTGGCACATTGATTAGCACGCGTTCACCTTGCCCTGTGCCCAGTGTCTCCACTCTGTTTAGGAGAACAGAGAGCAAGCTCCCTCCCCAGGACACCGACTCCAAAAAATATGGCTCCAGGGCTAACATTTGCCCAGAGACCGAGACCATGAGAGACAAGACAGAAGACACAGGGATTCCAAGGTGGTTTGACGGCTGAGACTTTCCTTGTAGCCTAACGCAGGAAGTTCTTAGGCAGTGGTAGCCCAGGAAATCCACGTTCTTTCCTTCAGCTACAGTCCCTTCTCATTCCCTAGGAGCCCATGAAACTGGGGGTGGGTGATTTGGAACAGGGGCAGTGGGGGGGAAAGATTATACAAGACAAGTAAGTGGAACCAAAAACTCCACACATTAGAGTAGAATTCCTTAAGACTTGTCTGCAAGTTAAGACTTGTCCTAGGTGAGCACTTTTCATACCATTAGACCTGCACAGGGATTTTCCTTTCCCAACCTTTTATATACACAGACCCCAGCCCTCTGGCTTCATGGGGAGGGGCTTCTGGGCTCTGAGAAACTCTACAGTCACTGTTGCCAGTTCGATGAGCAGGAAAAAAATGTGTTTCCTGAAGCTTACTTGAAGAGTTTATAAATAAAGTGATTCTTACATTAAGTTATATAAATACCTTTGTTTCCTCCCCTCCGCTTGTGAGCTGTGGGAGACAAGGAATCTGGGAAGAATGCAGGAGGCGGGGGAGAGAGGAAGCAAGTTTTTTCTTTTTCCTTCCTCTCCCTGCCCCTTTATCTCCTGTTTGTGGTCTTACCCTTCAGCACATCTTAAAGCTGCTGGTTAGAGACTAGAGCAAGGAGAGACTTGCGTATTATCTTCTAGCACTTAGAGCGTGTTGGAGAATAGCAAGTGTTGCATTCTAGTGCCAAAGTAGTGAGAAGCATGTCGTTCACTAAGCCTGCAACACTCTGCTTATTAGAACTCCTAAGATTAACTTGCTATTCATATTTTCCAAGTCATGGAAAGGACTTAGTACAGGTTAAACGCAACTCCAGCAAACAGAGTACAATGCAAGTCTCGCAGTTATTTCTCTAGTTTTAGAAATACTCTAGTTAGTTTGCAGATAGCTGTAAGGTTTCAGTCCTAAACCAGAAAGGCAAATTCATCATGAACTGAGGCATGAGAAACAAGAGGCATGAAAACAAGTGACTTCTAAGCATGTGCAATAGAACTTCTGTGTGTGATTTGTTTCGATTTTCTTAGAAGAGATTTTTCAAATATTTCACTCGGCAATTTTGAAGGGAAAGACTAAATTTCATTAGAAGACCTGAATAAGGACTGGCCTTCAAGAACAGAGCCATGAGATGCTCGGTAAGAACTTAATGACTTGGGGAAAAGTTATTCCCGTTTGTCCTTGTTTTATTCTCATACCTGCAATAATTCTGCCTTCTGAGTTTTCTCTTCTGTGGTAGGTATGCCCAGGGATGTATGACCTCCTTATGTTTAAAAGTTTGCAACAAGAAGCTCTCAAAGCATTTTACGTGTTCATAGTTGCACCCTTCATTTACAATTTGCTATATCCAAGTTGGGTGTAGATATTTCCCAGTGAAATAGGAAGAATTTCACTCTGCTTGGCTGTTCTTCCCTAACTCACAACCATTAACTAGAACAAACACTTCAGTTAGTTCTATCATGCTATGTGACTTTCACTATTCATTTTCCCTACAGATGTCTTTGCCAGTGAGGAATTTTCTGAGACAACTATTTTCCAGATAGTAGCGCTCACAGTTAGTAAGCTGCCTCACCATTAAAATAGAATGATACTCACCATCAGTGTTTCAGATACGTTTGAAAAATTTGAGTTCTCATTCCGCTTAGGAATAAAATTTGATCACTATATAATCAAAGGCATTTTCTAATTATGCAAGCTTTGTATTACTGGAAGAAAAAAACTGAACTACAGAGAGAGATTCTATTCTGGACTGTTGATTATCTAGGGGACTGAAGAATCTACGATTTCGTTTACTGTAGCACTTGATACTAAGTAGCATCAGATTGATACTTCAATTGTTTGTAATACTTTAATCTTATTATGGCATATCTAGTAAAATCAAATTTCTTCTGAGGAAAAAAAAAATAATCTATGAAGTAGACCATTTCCATCTTGTTTCTAAAAATAGGCAAGTACCTCCTGGTGGCACATGTGACATGGAATTCCATTTCATCAGAAGTCCTACTAGGTTTTGTTGCAGAAAATTCAGATTCTTTGGTTCATGAGCATACAGAATACTCTGTCCATGTGCCTACTTAAACCAATCCTTCTGCAGTTTAATTGAACTCACCCAACTCTTACCCTACTGTCCAGGAAATAAAGCATTTGACACCGATTTGATTTGCACTTGAATGAGAACATGAGAGGAATTAAAAATAAAATTTAGAAGCCCCAAATCCCCAGAATCCCAGACTTTCCTGACAATGAGTGAGGAAGAAAAAACAGGCTTAAGACTGGAAGGCAAGAGTCTAATTCTCCAGCCAGCAGCAGCCACCAGACAGACACAGAAATACTGACTTTATCTGATCAGTTCTGTTATCAGAAAAAAATCTGCCCAAGTCACAAACTTGATACATTTATTAACTTTGGCAACATACACATTGATACACCAAGAAAGGGAAATCTGAAACAAATACACAAAAAGGGCAACATCTTCAGCTGGTGAAAACTGATGCAGCTCTACTGATGAAAGCAGAACTGCATGGATTCAAACCATCTGAGGATCGTATCCTTTAAAATTTAAACCTGCATAGATTTTTTTTTTCTTTTTGGCAATACTTATAGTTATGCCAGTAAGGCACAAGAGCTAGCCCAAGTTAGGTGTCTTTAGGTGATCATGTCTGGGAGCAGTCACTGATCAAGCTAAGCCACAGTGTAAACTGGCGCATCTCCTAAAGTCAACAGGAGTTGCACCTATTTGCAACAATGTTAAGCTCGTTCTATAGGTTACAGTATTGAGGACACGCTATAGGATGCAGAAACTAAAGTATTTAATTTTGGGCAACTGAAATGACTAGTAAAGAGGCCAGAGCATTAGATTAAAAGAAAAACAGGACAAAGGTCTCAGGATAGTACAGTGGGGTAGGGTGCAAAGAAGGTAAGAGTGACTGTAGAGACCCCGGAGCACAGTGCTCTCCTCCACTGGTTCACAGCGTTCCTCTTCCCCGTTTAGCAGTTGCTGGGCTGCAAACAGGCCACTGAAAATCAGTAGTTTCAATCATGCATATCATTATGTGTGTAAAACAATCACATTCAGGATTCTACAAAACCCTGGCTTTTTTTTTTTTTTCCAGTGAAATAATTTAGGTAATAAATATTCTCCACCTGGAGCGGTATAAAACTTCTATAAAAATAGAAACAACATTCTTGGTTACAGCAGGTTGCACTTGGAGCAGTTGCTCTGGCTTATGTATGTTTTTTTTTTTCTTTTTTTTTTCTCCTTTTTTTGAAAAGTATAGTTTTTATTTAAAAAAAAAAAAAAATCCCATTATCACCCTGGAGGCCTTCACACTCCAACACTCTTTATCTCAGAAAGCCAGGACACATCTTTCCCATCGTGTAGTATTCAAGTGTACATGGTTCACTTAAGTGTATGTTTACGTTTCTAGAGTCAAATAATTAACATAGAAGGGTACCACATGCCAGCATAACTGGGAAATTTGGCAATCTGGCCTTTGAACCTTTGCCACCACAAAATTATTTGTATACTGATATATTTACCCGTCTGACAGACCGGCATCAACTAACTGATTTTCAATTTAAGAATGGAAAGGGCTCTTCTTGGATGCTATGGGTCAGGCCTTGTACTTCTGAGGTTTGGAACCCAGGGGACCCACTCCCTGGGAACACCCGACATTTCCAACCGACTACTGCACATGGGTTTGGGTTCTGGACGTGATCTCGGGTTTGATGGGTTTAGCGCTCCTCCTGCTGGAGCAAGTCCCAACCCTAAGTCTGACCCACACACTCATCATGTGTGGGCCATGTAGCAGTTGGCTCCCAGACTGTACTGTTAGCTGGTGCCCTGGGAAACAACATCACGAACCAGGAATACAAAGAAAACAAGGAAAAAAAAAGAGAAAATGAGGTAAATGGAACTTCTGTTAAAGACGCACAGAAACTGTAAACTTCCTCTTGTGACAGAGGCGGATTTTGGTAGTTACAAAATGGGACTCTACTCTGATGTCTCAAAACAACTCAGGCCAGAGTGTCAAAAGTCCTTTGAGCCCCCTAAAACCAGTGTATAACAAAGGCCCTTAGCAACGCATTATCAATTTCACAAGTGTGCAGAAAAAGTGTGTGCTCACTGAAGGGGAGTGTTCAATTTTCCTTCTATACGGGAGATAACACGTAGTACCAAGAGGCAGAATTAGGCTGAATGGCTCAATGACCTGCTCTGGTTTCACAGCTCTTGTGTTAGCCTGTTCTGCACTGGTACACACCACCTTAAAGGAAAACTGCAGTATAAAGAAATACCTAATTACTAGACGAAATCACTGCACAAACTGTTTTGGCCAAAAAAACCCAACACACAAAACCAGGAAGTTATCTTTGCAACAGAGTTAAGACTGAGAAATCAAATTCCATGAGAACATGTATGAAACCAGAGCCTCAAGAGCTGTGTTAGCATAACTCTGGGCTTTGTATCTCCATTTAACAGTCATTTTAATAGAGAAACAAACAGCACTTACATTAGGATTATCAGAATGAACTCAAGGTAGTACTGTGCGAAGGGGACATTATTCCACAGAAATGGGGAATGTGATGTTAAGAAGAAAAATTGTCAAAAGAATTCTGCAGGTTACGAGGGATCAAAACTTTGTTACTCGCCCCAAATGGATTCAGCCAGACTAAGCTGTCTCTCTCTCCCTTTCTAAAAAAACCTAGATAAAGTACATGGAGAAGTTTTTTTTAAATACGGAGAAATTCACTGCATCTCATTAATATTCAGCTGTAAATAGACTGAAATTTTCTGGGCAGGGACATTATCTAATAATTTTATAAAGTGCTGTGTACATTCACAGTGCTATATAAACACTACTTTATATACAGCAAAAAAAATCACTGCAGTTTTCCTTTGGCTTGTTAATGTGTTCACCCTTCTAGTCTGTCTCCTGCTTTAGAGATGATTTACTAAATCCTCACCATGGCATACAGTTTAGGAAATTTCAGAGAGTAGATGGGACATGACAAAGGCTACATGGAGCCGGTTCTTTGCTCACCCAAACTTAGACGGACTCAATTCTCCTTCCCCATCTTTGTTTTCATTAGATGTTCTGTGTTATTTCTGCTTTCCCCTCCTCCTCTCCCCCATGGTGGTGTGGTGTCAGTTCTGCTTCCCCTTCTCTCTACCCCAAGGCAGTGTGTTGTCAGATTCTGCTGCTCCCTTTAACCTCCCCTCCCCACCCCCAAGGAGCTGGCATTGGTCCTTCTCAACACACACTGGTTACAAACACAGCAAACTTCAAATAAGGGGGGTGAGAAAAAAACCCAAAAAACAAAACAAAAAAACAAACCAACAACCCAAAAACAAAACCTCAGCGATATGGCACCTAAACTCCAAAGTAAAACACTGGAAACAAAAGCACAAACTTGTCCTCCATCCGAAGCGGGATTCTCAGCAGAGGCTGCAGCCGAATCTTCAGGGGAAGATGTGCCAGACAGAAGGCATGGATCAGCTTCCAGGACCGTAAAAACACAGCCTTAGGGCTTGGAATCACTAAGTGCGCTCCTCTCCAACTTACCAGAAGATCCTTCTCACTCCAGTCCCGGAGGGGAGGGCGCTCAGTATGGCTTGCTGTCATTCTTAGAGCGCTTGAGCTGTACCTTCAGACGCTTCATGCCAATCTGAAAGCCATTCATTGACTGAATGGCAGCCTGTGCAGAGACAGGATTGTCGTAACTTACAAAACCTGAAGAAAGGAGAATACATAATTACACCATGCCAAAGCTGTCCAGAAAAGCTACTCACAACTGGAAATGCAGGTACCCACAACTTAAGAAAGACTTGCATGAAATGCCATTTTCAGAAGCTCACAACTGTTTTAGACTCTTCATAAAAAACTTCAAATTGAGGGCTCTCAGACAAAGCATTGCTTTCTGACACCTGGAACTTTGGCCAAAAGATATACAAAGCTCAGGAAATTAAAGTAACATTTTCCAGTCTTCCAACAAAATTCAGTATTGCTGTTTGTTTTCTAAGAACATCTAACCTGGGAAATATTAACCTATATATGAAAGCTCATTAAAGATACAAGACTGAAATCACCCTCTTGGCATGATGGGAGTAGATTTGTTTGGAGTGAAGTAGCTGTGTCAAGGCAGTGTGGCACTTGGACCACTCTTATGTTTAGGTCTCTCTTCAATGAGTAGTTGTGTATCATTCCAGCGAAAGAGCATCCCCAAAATAAACTTCTTCAGGGTTTTGAAGGAACCCATTTTAAATAACTCCAGTTAATGGCCGATAGCACTACCTGGGGAGATCACTCCATGTATAGGTGTTACAGCCTGATGCTCAGCACATTTTTGTGTTCTCACAAAGCATCAGATTGTTCACATATTTTGGCTCAAACACTAAAAAATTCAGGACATTATGTAGGCACAAAGCTATCAAAACAACAGAGAAAGGCTCACCTCTTCTACTCTACCACAGGACACCTCCTTCTATCAAAACAGTCATGAGAGCTTACAGCACTACAAGACTGCTACAACTGCTTGCACTGGGGTTTCAAAGTGAGGAAAACAAAGCTATGAATTTTTCAGTCCACGTGTGCAGCCTACTACTACATAAGCTAAGAAAGAATATGGTCTTTGCTTTTTTGGCATCACAGACTTTAGCAGGTAACTGAAAATATTCTATCTGGATAGTAACTGCGGCACGACAGGTTGATGTACAGTGTCAGGATACACCTCCCACCCTGATGTGTCTCCCATCTAAATACACAATAGGCAGAGCAAAATTAGGATACGAGATGCAACCAAAGTTAGGCAGTAAATAGCGGCTGAAATGGTTTTTCTATTACAAAATTTTCACAAATTACGAGGAAGCTTTAAGAATTGCCTTCAGAGCATTTACAGAAGAGTCATATGCTCCTGTACTATATGGTAGCCATAATAATTATATATAAGAATGTTAGTAGAAATAATTCATGAACATAGTAAGCAGTATATACAGCAACATAAACCATTAGTGAAAAGACAGAAAGGGGGAAGAGAAGGAACTACAACATGATTAGAGTCTGCAAACACAAATCATAGTGAATTATTTAGGGCCACAACAGTATAATGAGGCATAATAGTGCAAAATCAGGAAAAGCAAAAAAGTCACAATGAAAATCAAGAAGATCTAGTTTATTGCTAGAAGAGTTCGTGTTTGTTTATTTATTAGGGTTATAGAGAAAGAGTCACTGCTTGACTTAAAAGCTAGACTAGACAATACACTGGACAAGAGATTACTAGAAAGAAGCCACCTTTCTACAGGTAATGATTAGACCCAACATACCAAAACACTTGCTTAGATTGGTCTGCTTGTCAATGAAAACCTTGGCAGAGACAACATTTCCAAATGGCATGAACATCTGCAGCAGATCCTGATCCCCAAATTCCTGGGGAAGATGGTAGATAAACAGATTGGCTCCCTCTGGACCTTCAAACAAAAAGGAGGAATATAAATTCAGAAAGATCATGGATAAGAGAGGCCCATTTCACAATTAAAAAAAAAGGTCAAAGAGCCATTCAAGCCACATTTTCTAGATAAAACAATGCAACTGCAGTCTGCATTTCTGTGGAGTACTCAATTCCAGAATAAATTAGCATGACCCTTTCCTGGGATTGATCATTCAAACAATTCTAGCTCCTTTTCACCATTTTTGCTGTAATTTTCACATTGTGCCAGAACTGGTTCACAGATCTTTGCTGTAACGAAAGCTGAGCAGTAAGTCTGAGCCCTAGATGCTGATTAAAACAAAAAATCGCTACGCAAAGCTTGCATCTCGCATCTCAAAGGAAGTGAGTAAATCTCAATACAAAACACAAGCAATTGCATTACTTGTGATCTGAGAGATTCTTTTCTAAGCATCATCCTATATTCTTCTGAAAACTTACTCCCACATTATTCATCACTTTACACTGAATGTTAAATTGATTCTGAATAGTGAAGACATTGGCATTAAGTATCTGCGGGAAGAGGTGGAGGACCAAGAAAACATTAACAAAACCACAACTGATTCTCCAACAGTGGGATGTATCAGGGCTGCAGATTCATAGTCTCCTGTCCTCCAAGAAAGTGAAGGAGTACGATTTCTAAGCATTTAAGACTAGACAAATCCTGGGAGAAAACTCCTGTATAAAAACTACTTTGGACAGCTCTTAACAGAGACCTCACAGGTTTACCTTCTTTATCTTCAGTAACTTTAGAATTCTAAAAAATGCTGCCAAATAAAAGCTCTGCAGATAAGGTAGCTGCAAGGGCTGATCACGCCCTTCTGACAACTCCTCTCTCAGACTGTTTCTACAAGTTCCTGCCCACCTTCTTTTTGACTTCCCGCTGCACCAATACTCTGCTGTGTTAAGAGACTCTGGTTATACAGTGTGGGCAATGCAGCAGCAGCATATTGTTGGATTCCAGAATAAGCCTGTGTGAGGGCTTCCATTGTGCTACCTGTCCCATTTGAGAGACCACCACTGCCAAGTCCTCCATTTAAGGCTGCCATTCCTGTATAAGAAAGAGGAAATAAAGATGACTGAGTACCTCCACTGAGCTAGATCAATTACCTTTCAAATACTCTGCATTATTACAAAAAGGCAAGAAGTAGAAAAACACCCCCAAGGAACCAGCCCAGCCTGAGGAACAATAAACAGCTATTCCCCCAACCCAGCGCAACACACAGCTTACCTGCTAAAGAGCTAACATTGAGGCCTGCTGTAGCCCCTGCCAGTGTCTGCAATGCTCCAAGAGAAGCCATTGGATTAACAGAGGAGCTGCTACTGGAGCTAGGTGAGGAACCTGCTATTAAAATAAGATAATTAAACTTCAAGCAATCTTTTTTGGCCTGGACAATTAAACTTCTTAAGTTATTTCTTCTATAGAAAAGCCTAGTAATGAACAGAGCAAGCAACACAGTATACTATGTCAAAAAAAGAAAAATCCCAAACCCACACAAATTGATTGATCATATTGTTTCTATCTTCTAATCCCTTCCTACTTTTTTGAAAAGTTTACACTTCATCATAACGTCTTTGCAGTAATAATTATTTCATTAAGTGTAAGACACCTAAGATTCAGACAGTACATGAATGTTAGCTAACTTTGTACCTCGACATAAGGTAACCAGCAGCAATGTCCATTTCCTGGTGACTAAAGCAAGTAAGAATCGCTACATACTCATACCTATCCTTGAAAAAAATCACACAAGGTGAAAAAGACCCGAAACACAGATACTAAAGACATTAAAGAAAGCTCCAGTCAAACTGAACATATGGTTTTCCCATACTGCCAGAAAAGGAACAGCAGATGCCCAGACTATTCTAACACATGAAATATTTTCCATTAAAAATCCTGCTGCAGCAGCCAGGGCTATGGGCCAAGAAAAGTCTTGGAATGGATGTCCAAACTACATAGTCTATCCTCTGCTGACTGTGCTACTAACATCTTCCAACACGTTTACTCAGTAAGAGAAGTCTACAGATATAGTACCCAGCAGATTAACAGATTACATGGCCTGCCAACTTCTTCACCAGGTGGAGTTAGTTCTACATAAACAGACATCAAAATGATGATGGAAAAAAGTTTCCCAAGTTGGTGTATCAAAAGAAAAAGAAGTTCAAATTTAAGTCATCTACAAAGATTATGGACATGATAAAATAAGACTAGTATTTTTATGATTATATAGCAGTAGTTCTCTTAACAGGTTTGTGGACTACTCTGAAATCTGAAGAAGGTAAATAAGGGAAGCTATACATATTGTCATTAATCCAGAAGTTTAAATTTACTGCACAAGATGCACTGGAAAGTATTTATGGCTTCTACAAATTAAAAGATACTGAAGTCTGGTGCTGTAGAGGCATCTTGTAGTCTGCTTTCAAGAGGAATTTATCTGTCTGACCAAGTGAGTGGGTAAGAGAAGAACTGAAATTCAAGCATTTTCAGTTTCCTTCATGTTTTTGCAATTCTCAGTTATGCTGTGTATGTCCAAGAAAACTTTGAAAAGAATTGTTACCACCTTTCAAGCAGATCCACACACTCTACATATTTACCACTGCATATGTGTGTCACAAAGTCTCTGCTGGAGTGAAATGTGGTTAACTATTTAAATGGAATACAGCAAACTTGCCTAACAAGCCCCAGCAAAAGCCGTGCCCAACAAAGGCTTCATAAGAACCCAGGAAGCTGCACTTGTGACCACTGTTTAGTTTTTGTATTGACAGAGGAAATGACAAAGCTCCTCTAGGAAACGTTATAGACCAACTGTCAAGTCAGAAATCGACGGACAATATCTCAGACTGTATTTTAAGATACTTACTCTGAAGAAAAGGAGACAATTCCAGTCTTACTATCAGCAGCATATTAAATGTTGGAAAAATATAGAGAACAAGTTACAGTATAACCCTCAAGTTGGTACAAAAAAAATATCACAGCTGGCTGAATAAAAGTCAGCATTCAGAAATGACACAGCTGCCTCCATTTTAGGGTATCACTTGTTTCTGCAATGTTTCACTGCTAACCTGCATAATTCAAAAAGACACTACGTTTGACAGACGAGAACACCACTTAAAAAAAACCCAAACAAACACCAAACCCACAATAAAATAGTAGTGGTATGGGAAAAAACCGAATGAAGCCAATGCTAGAGATCACAGTAACAGACAGAACAGATACCTTCCCTACTTTAAAAAGGTTGCAATTTTAAACAAGTTCATTTAAACCACTGCAAAAAGCTGAACACCGTTATTTTAGTTTAGCTGACTTTATCACAAGTCTCTTTTAAACAAAGTAAGAAATGCTTTAGTACTGAAAATGCCAAGAAAATTTAACTCTGTTCGGTTTATCTGCATTATGTACACAGAAACTACTGTACTGTCTCAGCACCCCATTTCTGATGATGACTAGAGGCAGATAAACAACAGCAGAGCAGAAATAGGGAAATTACAAAGGGACACTTCCCAGGTGTAGTCTACACATCAATGCAGCAATTTGCAAATCTAGATTTCTTCCAGCCAAGGGCAATGTCTTTGTATTACAATTTTCATTCATTAATTTTGGTGCATTTTAAATACAGAATTGCTTGACTCTACTATGTTCTAAGGCATGAGTTCTGCAATTTAATCACTGTGCAAACAAATAGCTCTCCTTGGTTTTGAACAGTCAGCCGACAACTTCACTGGATATCCTGTAATTCTTCTCCTTTCCCTATTCATCTTCATCACACCACTAATACATCCGTAGACTTTGATCATATCCACCTCTCACATCAGTCTTCTATTTTTCAGGCTCTCTCACTGCTCCTAATAGGGAATGAATTCCATACTTCTAGTCATCCTTCCTGTTTTTCTGTTTTTTGTGTATTATTTTAGATCAGAAAACAATACACAGTGCTGGGGATGGAAAACCAATATAGCTTCACTTATGTTCTTTACTCCATCCCTAATTCTTAACATTGTTTCTGTGCAGTTTTGGTGGGTTGTTGGGTTTTTTTGCTTGCTACTGAGGTTATATTTTCTTAGATCTACTGAGTTACACCTAGTCAAAAAGGCAAATTCTAACAGAAGTAGCAGAAAATACTTGAAAAGGCTTTCAGAAAATTTGAATATGTAGCAAAGATAACAAAACTTGGACAAGGGCATCAACTACCAACTCGTGGAAGTAGGTGAACTGAGGGAAAAGTAAGTCTGTTGTAATTCCATCCAAGCTAAAGAGCACTAAAAGTCAGATAGTAGATCAACCTGAACTGGACCAGAATTAGTTCCAGCAAGATCAGAAAGACTATAATGTCTCTGAAAACAATTTTGCTGGAGATACATTAAGGTCAGGAAAGTCATCTCATCTTTCCTGGACTTGTGATGGTTGCCTTTGAAGAGAGGAGAAATGGAAACATACATCACCTTGATGTCTGAGTCAAGAAGGTGGCAGACAAGACACTCCAATCCTGAAATACTTCTACAGTATTTTCTTGAATGTCCTTTTCATAAGCTACAAGTTTAAATGAGTTTATCTAAGGCCACAGCCTCTGTAACATGGATTACCTACAGGTGGATGCAGCAGCAGTCTATTCAGTTCCAAAGAATAGCTGCTTTATTGCAAGGTTGAAGGTTTTGCTCCATCATATTCTACTTCAAAATACACCATACTGCTTGGAAATACCTAAATAGAATCACCTGAAATGTGCCGGAAGACAGCACAGCAATAATATTTAACAGCTCCGTGTTCAACCATTCTGACATGTAACCTACACACAGCCCACAGACTCTGCACCGTGTGGACTTCCAAGTTCCCCAAACACATGAGAGATCAGTGCAGATGAAAGAAAAACAAAAAGGTAACTATGCATAAAGACCATGGATTTTTTGACCAACTGTGAAGTTTGAGGGCAATCTGGGAGAGACGTCCAAATAGGCATCAGGTGAGCATTGGGATGACTGACAGATTATCACAGTATACATTGCCATATGTCCCACAGACAAGGAAGGCATTTACTAACACACAGTACTGAATAGCTATACGCTGAGTTTTTTCAAGCTCAGGAAAGATGCTCTGAATGTGTGGAGTTCAACAGCTCCTATATGAATGTACACATAAGTATAAGAGATAATAGTCAGTTCAGAGTAAAGAGTTAAAAAGCTGTATAATTACAGGAAGTATCATAGATTGAATGCTGTCAGTACCCACTGGGACTTCCACTCCCCCCAGCTTAAGTACAGTTTTAAAAGGTGAAGCATATTTATACCTCTGATGAAAAGCACTGAAGCTGTTTGATGTCAGTGACTACATATAGATCACATATCGTCCAGAACTTTCTCTTTCTTTTGAAGAAAGCTAATCTACTCTTTAAAATTATACTAGAAATTAAGTTGAAAGAGCAATACAATAGTGACTGCTTCAAGCCTGTGAAGAGTGATACACCTACAGGATATTAATTCAAATGATCCATCGTCACTGCTGGTTGACACACAATCATTTGTCGATATGACTGGTGATCATTTTTAAGCACCTTCTGTGCTGAATCCAAACAACTTTCTGAACTGCTCCCCATCCTTCGGGGCCCTCCACCAGCATGATCAAAAGCTGAACAGAGTCCTGAGATGCTTCTCGTCAAGGGAAAAGGAACAGCAGAGTGCTGTGTAACAGCCAAAATTCACAGAGGGGAAACCAAACCTAAAGAATCACACAAAAGTAGCATAACTTCAGTTGAAAGGGACCTTTGTGGATCATCTAGTCTAATGATCTGCTCAGAGCTGGTCTAACCTGTGAACTTTCCAATTGCATTCTGAAGCTTTGAAATGATGGGAGATTCCACAGCCCCCCTGGCATCTGGTATCTGAGCTTAATATTCACAGATGATAATTTTATTTTTTTTTATTTTTCTTTTATATCCAGTCAGAATTTTCTCTACTGCAACTTGTGTCCATTGCCCTTGTCCTTTCACTGTACACTTCTGAGAAGAGGCCATCTCTGCCTTTTCTAGGATGTCTGGCATTTGAACTTCACAACCTGCCAGTCCCTTTCCCCACTTCAACAAATCAAATAAACTTGCTCCAGTCAGCAGATTAGAGAACCGACAAGTTCTAAACTCCAGTCACAGCAACATGTAACCCGACCATTCCAGCTCTGCTACTGCATGAGGAATCATGGGAAAAATTCTCAGATATATTCACTCTCACACTTTTTCTCTGCGAGGAAAACGCATCAGTGGGTTACAAATGCAGGTCTTCCATAGCCTCAACTCTTTGGGGTTTTTTTCTGATTTTGTTAGTTTGTTTTTAATTATAGAATAGGATACCATAGCTGGGAGTCAAGATAAATTTTGAAGTTTTAATCTTTAAGGATTGCAAACCACAAAGTTTTTATGTTAAAAAAAAAAAAAAAAGCAAACCCAAACCTGTCCAGAAACAGAACACACTTTAAATTCTTTCTTGGGGATTTCTCCAAGTGGAGAACTGTGCAAAGCACCCATGGTTTAACTCCTGATTGTGTGACGTAAGGTTTTCTAAACAGCTTTTCCTTGTAATCTCTTTATAATCTCTTAGTCCAGCTCCTTGGCCCTCCTACACACTACAAAAAGCTACCTGTGGAAATTTAAAACACCCCTCAACCCCCTTTGGTCCCTCACAATCACAGGTGAGGATGTCAGTTCTGTAGGCTGGATTTTGAAACTGCATAAGCAATTTGGCTTTTTATGAAAAAAACAAAAAAACAAACCCACATACCATGCCATAGATGCTGGGAAACCAACACCCTGAAAACACAGGGTCTCCCTTCCCATGTCAGGATTTAGAAATAACTGAAAATAGGTTAGAAATAACTGAGTAGGATAGTGATCTTCATTTGTGGTAAAAACTGAGCCTGTCTGATATAAGCACAATTTAATTTGTTTTTTGTTTTCTTGTCTCTTGCATTTAATGATCACATTTAACAAGAAGGCAGCAAAAGAACACTACTTGGACATTTTTGCCTCTCTGGATACGGTACACAACCTAAAGTAATAAACAATAAAAAAGCCAACCAGAAAAAAATACCAGAAAAGCAAGACACTGATTTTTATGTGTAACACATACACTCAGTTCTAGATGCTTTCTAATAAATGTGCTAAAGGTCTGTTTATTCTACTTCTATGAGGTAGTTATAGCATCCTTGTCTTCATTAATGTCAGAGGGATAGAAACTGTACTGTTCTAGTACACAGAATGCATTACTTCATGCTTTAGGCATCTTCTATTTCCATGTCCAGAGGAACAGGGTACATCTGCCACAGTGCCTGTCTAAAATCACAGATACATTAATTTCACCGGATTGTACTAATGTGACTGGAAAGAGGTCTCCTACCTTTCTGCTTCATGGTGACCTCAAAAATTCCTTTCACTCTAAATTAATCTGACCGTTTGGAGGAAGAACACAGCAGGTAAAAAAGCCTTTGCTGGAGGCAAAGGTATCTACCCCAAACAAAGGCCAGTGAATTTACTAGTAAAACTGCTTATAGATAAGAGAATCAACACGAAAGTGACAAAAAGGGATAGACAAAAGAGGTGACATCTATCCTGAAAGGACTCCTAAGGCAACCCACCTCATAACGCACTACAGCATAGGCAGTCTCTTACCTGAGCTGGTGAGCACACTCAAGGGACTGCTGGAGGAAGTGAGTGCGGCGGTACCACTCGGTGTATTCTGAGCTGCGCTGGCCGCAGCTGCTAATGCAGCCAGGTTCTGTAACTGCATCGCATTCAGTCCTGCAACACATTGAAGAATGCAGTTTCTCCTGTAACAGTCACCATCATCTTAGTTCAACATATCCAGCAACCTCAGCACATCACAACGGAGTAACAGGAATAAGCTTAAAAACAACAGGCTTAATACTAGTTAATGATCTTTTTGCTGCTGAGATTCCTTGTTATAAGGAAAAAATGTTTTTCTTTGTCCAGATAGAAGAGTTTCTGTAGAAGACCAGGTAGTCATGATTCCAGATGTAGACTCCAGATTACAGAAATATTCAAGCAGTGTTCTCTTCACTGATTCACAAAAGCATAGCAGCTTTAAAAGAGAGTTAAGTCAGGGTCTGACAGCGCATCTGCAAGCCAGAGATCTTGTCTAGACACCAGACCAACATGCTCCTCTTGTTTCATGTCCCTCTACTCTCTTTGTATGGGAACAGCAATAACTACACAGTTCTTTCAAGAAGGCCTAAACACCACAGTGGCTATGAAGTCGCACCTTCAACCCACCATCAGCTGAATATCAGCACATTTGGGTTTGTCCCCTCGGCGCCAAGAAGCAACAGTCAATTGTGAGACAATGTTAAGTGGCAACTCCTGACCACAAGGTCAGCCAATGTACGTGTAGGCTAGTCAGCTGGTCAAACAAAAACGGGTAGGAAAACATCAGGCATGTTGTGTGTAAGATGCCAGGAATACTGCAGAAGGGGGAAGGTATCCCTGTGCTGATGAACTTTTATGGGTCGCTTTACTCATCTGACTCACCTTGAGTCATAATTTTTGAATGAAACCAGTCAGTACTGGCACTGTAGTTTGCTCTCTTCCCCTGCCACGGGATTATCGCTGATATCAATCTTCTTCTGAATTCTGTATTTTAGCCATCCTTTGGTAGGCTACCTCCATTCTCCCACCTTTGTCTCACTTCCCTTTTCCCTTCTTTCCTGTTTTTGTCTCTACCTTTGCTGACTCTAACAACTCCTCCTCTTTTCATCTGAATTCAGACAATCCCTACTAATTCCTCCCTACAAAATTAAAACCAAAATGAAATTAATCACCATCCATACAAACATCAAAATATCCTAGGCAGATGTGACACCTCATTTTTTGGATGCTTAGCAAGTAATTGGTGACAAAGCACACACCTCAAATTACAAAATGAAGATTTTAATTATGTAAACAGACAACATTAGCATAATTCGTTTGGTTTTATCTTTATCCATTGTCCTCTTTGTGATAGGGTTCACTTCCCTAACCACATTTAGTACCTGAAACGAGGATTCTGCCTTTATTTAGATTCTCAAGGTGCCATCGTAACACAAAAGCATTGTTAAACCCCAAAAGGTTTTTTTTTTTCTTTTTATTGTGCTACAGAGAGTTAAAAGTGCAAGTGTTAGAGATATTGAAGAACAGAGCATCTATCTTGCTTCCTTTCCGAAGCTGTTCAGCATGGGCACACTGCACCTGTCCTCTTGTCATCACACTGTTCTCCCATCTGCTTTCAAATAGGGTCAAGATTAAATTTTGCCTAGAGTCTGATACAGTTGGGGATTGAATTACTTCCTTAATTTTTCTTTCTATGAATTTGAAGAAAGGAGATGAGCTCATATATTAACAGGACTACCAAACTAAAACTTTCTGTGATGAATCACAGACTTAGCATAATTTTTCAAAGCACCATGCAACATGCTATTTATACATCTGAGTACTCAATTTTTAAGGTGTTTTTTTATTTAGTGAAGCAAGAATTACCCTGGAAACATCACAGGCAACCTCCCCTAGTTAGCCCCTTCCCACCCACCCCTGCCCCAGTCCTTGCTGTGGTAACAATTTGCATGAAGGGCTGTACTGTTTTTCTCCTTTATCACTACTTGGTTTTAAACAGACAAGAGGAGGAAAAACCAGTATCATGCGCATAACAATCTATTACAGGTCACCATCACACAGGATATTAGTGAAAGTGATTTTTATAAACTGCTTTTGGCAAGAGTAGTAGATCTAAAGAGCTCTGCAGAGGTCTAACATGAAAAAAAAAAGTCAGAAGCTGAGGTTAGAATCAACCTCAAGTATAAATCAAGGTTCTTACAAGGGAAAAATGTAACACCTTGGAAAAGCTTGTAACTGTTACTCACAGGTACACCAACACAAGTCAGTTGTACAAAAACACTTCACTTCCTTAACACTTCTAGATCAACCTCTGGACAACAGGGCATGTAATACTGTTAACTACCACACAGATCCAGGAGGCAATTTTAAAAGCTTGAATTGTTCAGTAATAAAACCAAAACTATCGCTTTTCTGCCAGAAGAATTTAGAGGATGCAGTGAATGGAGTTCCTAACATCCTTTTTTTTTATTCCCCACCCTGTGAAGACAGAAGGGACAATCAATTTGCAGTGCCAGTATCGCTATACTTAATGTTCTGACTGGTGGTCCACAGCAAGGAATTTGGCTCATACTTATTAAGCTGACATTTCCCTAAGAGCAATGGCATAATCAATCATAACTCAAACACAGGAATTAAAGAACCTGCATGAAGGACTAGTTCACATTCCTACCAACAATGCATTTTCAACTTTGATGTACTTAAGGACAACACATTTAAAACAGGAAACCTAAGAATCCATTATCACTGAAACACATGCCCTAGTGCTTACTTCAAATATGCACCTGTTTGATGAAAATAAATATACGGAACCATCTTTTAAGGGAATTAAGGTACGTTAATTTTAAATGCCAGAGGTAGGAGAGATCACCATCGTATCACAACTTACCTCGGGGACAATGGTTAACTAAGATTAAGAAGGAACATCCACACTTGTAGCAGAGGATTTCTGTCATTCCAGAGGAGTGGGTAAACTCAAGACTAATTATTTCAAATGGGATTAATGTGTCTACAGCCTTCTGGCTACTTTCTCTACCCTCCTCTTCTTTTCTTTGGCCCTGAACTTGTCTTAGGATAGAAAAACTCACCTCCCATTGGGTGAAGGCTGCTCAACGTGTTCAGGTTCCCAGATGACGCAGCTGCTGTCTGCTGAAGGAGCTGCAAATAAAGCTAGACATTACACCAAAAAACAAAACAAGAGTGAGAGTGAGGGCTGGCTCTGCTTCTGGGAGAAACTGCAGCACACCACAGCCAGAGCGCCGTCACAAAGGGAACTCCCACTGCCCATGCACCATAGCATCATAGCAAAGCGTAAAGAGAACTCCCCCTGCACAGTACAGCCAGGGCACCACCATAGTGAAATCCCATGTTGCTCATGCACCAGACTGCAGCCAAAGCAACAGCACAATGCTTTCCCCACTCAACACCATCAATGTCAATGGAAGTTTACAGCTAATACACCAAGACAAAGCAAGTAGAATCAGTCGTAAGAGAGAATAGTTTATCTCTATTTTCTGTGGTTTTGGTTTCATTTTGTTGGTGGGTTTTTTTTTTTTAAATACTGTGCACCATCAGCTGCTTGGCGCTTCCAACCTGACCAGCTTTTCTATTTGGACAGCACTAAGTACTGCTCTAGGTGTTACTGGAAGGGGATGAGAAAAAATAAAGGCTGAGAAAGAAAAAATGAAAGAGAAATACAAGAACTATGTCAGAGAGAGATGAAAGGGACATTTCTGGCCATAACATATGAAGAAAATCCTCTCAGCCAAGTCCTTCTACAGAAGATAGGAAAACAGATTTTCAGTAGTTAAGGCTACAGTGACTGGGGCTGAAATCCTCACTTAAATGTGTCCTGACTGGCTGTTAGCACAGAACTTTATTTCAGCCTCCTCATCCACAAAATGGGCATTAAGAACCCTGCTCCTATCTATCAGGAACCTTCTAAAAATGAATACATTAAAAAAGACAGTCAGACACTGTAATCCCTGAAGAGATGAAAAGAACCCAAATGAGGGACTCACTGCTAAGTACTGGGGTCCAAGTGTGTTGAGACCAGCCAGGTTTCCCCATACTGAGGCAGCACTGATCTGTTGCATTTGTTGCTGGAGTTGCTGAGCAATTCGTTTCTGCTCTTTGTCCTTCTGCGTGTCTGCAAATTTTACCACAATGGGAGAAGAGCAACCCTGCAAACAGCAATTCAAACAATTACATACTTGCTATCCCCAGCAGTCACAAAAATACTGTATTAAGACTTGGCCATTGGAAGCATTCCCATCTCCCCCCACATACATACATACATACGTGTATATATACACACACACATCTACTCAAACAATACATTTCATTAAAGGTTCCAAATCTCATTTGCTTTTAATTCTATTTCATGGGTGTTCTTTTTTTGTTGCTGTTGTGTTTTCCCCACTCCCACCCCCCAGCAAATTAAGTTTCTGTCTCAAGATCTACAAATAAAAGAACAAGCACAAAGGTTCAGGACTAGTATTTGTGAAGAAACGCACACTGCACTTATCCTTCTCTCTACTCTCTAGTCCTCCAAACTCAACAGTGACTGCCTGGCAGATTACATCTTCTCCTGACACTCACTAACTTGTTTTACCTCCATGGTTTGTGCTTGGTGCATTGCTTTGATTGCTGTTTGTGCCATGGCTCTTGTTGTAAAAGTCACAAATGCACAACCTGGGGAAAGAAAAAAGAGGGAACCAGGTCATTCACTACATCCACAACTACTGGGATGAATAAAGAAATGAAAACTCCTATAGGCGGTGGGTGGCAAGGGAATCACTGAAAGAGCTGGGATGCCACCTTGAGTTGCAAAAGGCAACATCCAGTGCAGAATACCAAACTGTCAGAAAGGCTTCCTGCTTACCTCGGCTCAGGCCATCTGGGCCCCGTAATATCCTGCATTCTTCAATTTGCCCAAAGGGGGAGAACATCACTCTGATATCATTTTCATTGCACTTCTTGGATATCATTCCAATAAACAACTTCCTATCTTCTACTGCTAAGAAATCAAAGGACAAGAGTATTACCAGCAAATATGTGCTTACTGGTTCTTATTTTGTCAAGTCTTTTCCATCAGTTGCAGTTACTTCCCTTGTATTTAGGGTAGGGGCTTGTCAGAACCAGATTCCCTATAATGGAATCTCTCTAATTTAAGAGGATGCATATGAGATACCACAATGTACCTGAAGGATGCCTGCTTTATGAAGTTTTGTGTTTATATTTGCTGACTGTTTCCCCCTTGCAAGCCTGTGAACTGCAAGAAAGTCCCTGTATCTCCTACATTCAGTTCCTGGTGAATGACAGAAGACTTGCATGTAATTTTATTGGACTATTTTCATTCTCTCTCCACTCTCTTCTATCTTTAGACTACCAACATACCTAATTGTATCTAAATAAGCAAGTGAGCTGCAGAAAGTTCCTTCTAGTCTCTACGTTATGGAAATCACTTACATTTAGATCTGCCTACTTCCTCATGCTCCTGTCTCAACAGTGGAAGCAAAACAGTTGCTAAACCAGAAGCCTTTAGTTCTGTTTCAGATTCATCCATTCTGACCTGTACTGAAAGCATGAAAATAACACCTCAGATGAGAACGATAGACAGATCTTCATCTTGCCTCTAAATGTTAATGCTACTAGATACATCAGAGTTGAAAAGCACCTATCAGCGTGCAGACTATTTTAGAATAAGCGGTCCAGAAACACGTGTCAAATTTTCAGTTAGTTGTTACTAATGTCAGTTTCAGTTCACTTAAGGTAGTGGGGTGAAATTGAATGCAGACCAGAACTTTATACCTCTGGTTTGACTCACTTAAGGATGCTAATCGCCTCTGAATTACTTGCTTTTAAAGGATGAAGCAAATTATACAGAATACCATATGGAAATATAAAATGGTTTGCGAATACAACACAATTGAGCACAATATAAAATAGAAAATGACGTAGGCTGTAGCACAATTTGAAGCTTAGAGACAGAAAGACACCTCCTATTTAGTGCCATGGTAAGGGGAAATCAACTTGTTTGCCGAGTCTTCTATGGAGTTGAAGAGGAAAATTCTGAACTATTCCAGCCGATATGACCATTAAATCTTAATGTTGTACCCAGTTCATTCTCAAGCTCTTAAAGCAGAAAACTGCTTTCAAATCCTTTTTGCAGTCCATTTTAGTTCAAGAGATTCAGAATCCCTTTTAGTAATGGCAAGTTAAAATACTCCAGCTGCTGCTTTCTTACTTGTATTTTCACTCACACCTTTTACTAAAACTCCAGTAATTACATAACAGCCTCAGAACTGTCACCCTAAAAGTCCATTAAATATTTTTTTCATCTTTCCATTATTTTCCCAGGATATTCGTGTGTGTGTGTGTGTATAATGCAAGATCAATCTCAGCTTGGAGAACCTATTTTGTTCTCCTCCCAACAATACCTCAATAGAATTTCTCCTTTCTAGATACATTTACACAGAAACATATTTTGTATACACATGGAGGAATTTGCAGATGGAATTACTCCTACTATATGTTACCCATATAGCCCATCTTCTGCTTTCAATTATCTGAAGATGTAAGCTTTCTGGAACCAGGACTATCTTCTCCATGATGCCACACTAATCTTTTAATAACTATGGCAAATGATGAAAATAAAATTCAGCCAAGTCTAGAAAGGCTGCAACTACAAGATGCTAAATACTTTCTTTGCTTATCATGGAGCAATATACAGACACACACACATTTGAGCATGTATGTATGAACTCATAATGGAAATACATGGATAAATGATCACTTAGCCAATGGTAGATGCTAAATATCTTATCCATCTGAAATGGCCAATGTACAGAAACATTCAGTTTTTCCTCTCCTGAACTGTTGTGAATTCTCTGTCTTCCTTGTATACTACAAGAAGCTGTTTTAACTCTCACCCTAGCTGCAACAGGCCTTGCTTCAAACTAGTCAAACACTTGAAAAAATATTTCTGGATTCCATAGAAATATAGAAATGTTTTGGTTGGAAAGGACCTTAAAAGATCATCTAGTTCCAACCCCCCTGCCACAGGCAGGTTCACCTTCCACTAGACCAGGTTGTTCAAAGCCACGTCCAACCTGGACTTGAATGGGCAGCTACAGCTATTCTTGGCAACTTGTTCCAGTGCCTCACCACCATCACAGTAGAAAATTTATTCCGGATATGTCATCCAAATCTACCCTCTTTCAGTTTAAAATTGTCACCCCTTGGGTCCTATCACTATACTCCCTGATAAAGAATCCCTCATCAACTTTCCTATAGGCTCCTCTGAGTACTGGAAGGCTGCTATGAGTTCTTCCCTGAGCCTTCTCCTCTCTAAGCTAATCAATCTCAACTCACTCGGTCTGTCCTCCTAGGGGAGGTGCTCCCGGCCTTTGATCATCTTCATGGCCCTCTTCTGGACTCACCTAAGAAGGTCCATGTTTCTCATACTGGGGTCCACAGAGCTGGACACAGTACTCCAGGTGTGGTCTCACAAGAGCAGAGGGAGAGAATCCCCTCTGGAAGTGCTGGTCACACTTCCTTTGATACAGCCCAGGATAAGGTTGGCTTTCTGAGCTGCAAGTGCACATTGCTGGCTCATATTCCATGTTTTTAATCCACCATTACTCCCAAGTCATTCTCCATATGGCTGCTCTCAATCCACTCATCATTCAGCCTGTATCCATGTCTGGGATTGCCACACCTTGCACTTGGCCTTGTTGAACTTCATCAGGTTTGGATGGGGCCACCTCTCTAGCCTGTCCAGGCCCTTCTGGATGGCATCCCTTCCCTGCAGAGTATCAACCACACCACTCAGCTTGGGGTCACCTCCAAACTTGCTGAGGGTGCACTCAATCCCACTGCTCATGTCCTCAACAAAGATTTAAACCACCTTAGTACAAAGAAGAACTCACTGGATGTTTCCCTAACTGACAACATGGTTCTACCACAAGCAGCAGCAGTGGGAGATACCAAGTAATGGGATTTTAGGAGACATCACTTATACTACCTACTACACTGAAAACACACTTTTTAAAAAAAAAAAACCAAACCAAACCAAAACAAACCCAAACCACCCAGGTCTCCAATTCAAGACGACTCGTCAGAGGCTGTTCAACAAAAGGAAAATCCTCAAGCTTCCCTATAAGCAAAAACGATGTCACCAAACTCAGACTTCAATACAGCTTACCATTACTCTTTTCACTGTCAGCTGGTTTCATCTGGATAGGATGGTGCATCTGAAATGTAAAAAGATTATTTAATCCTAGATGCATTCACTTTATAATATATTAAATACATCCTGTAAGAATTGTGGAATAAAGAAATGGTAGCCTAAACTGCCTCTACAGTAGTGCATATATATCAATGAATAAATTTCTAGTAGAAAGAAAAGCTTTCCTCATGATATGCCATCATTCCTCCTCAGAGAGTAATATAGGAGCCATGCCCACCCACTTCACTACCATATTACTCTCCCAAATACTCCAAAATTCCCTTAAGATGTTATCATACAAATCTCAACATTGATCTTTTGAACAGTTCTTTTAAAGCATGATTTGAGGGCACGGTAACGTGTATTTGTACATCAGTGGTGCCAGATCTCAGAAAAACAAGATAAAGTTGCGAGGAAAGCATGGCTCTTCTCTTACCCCTGGGAGGATCTTCATGTTGTGAAGAGCATTCTGTGCTTCTAGTGCAGCTTTACGGGTATAAAATGTAACAAAACAGCACCCTGCAATTGAAGGAAAATGCTAGTCAAGAAAGAACACCATGAAACTTGACATGCTGTACAGCAATTCCAAGTCCCACTTCTATCTTTCCAATGGAAAACAAACGGCAAGTAAAAGAGGTTAGACACTGAAATAGGTAGGTACTACTTATTGTGACGTTTTTAAAAAGGTTTCTAAGTGTAATAAAATAGGGTATATTCAGAACTGTCCCAACATCACCAATACACCATTACAACAAACATTTAGATACATCTGCCAAATAATTATTGGCTACTTCCATTATCAAACTCAACAATTATTTGCTATTACAAAAAAACTTAATCTAGTTTCACAGGAAATAAGATATTGCATACAACTGAACTGCAAACCCAGGTACAGCATTTAATTAGGATTCGATGTACACCAATGACTAACACCTCAATTTTATATTTTATCTGAAACTGACACTTTCAGCACCGTTTTGGTCATACCATAGCATCACAATGATTCTCTGGAGCAACGTGATACTGATTTGATGTTCTGCTTTTGAATTATAATCCAAGCTCTTCAAGCATCCCCATCACTTTCAAAAAAATTACGATTCTCCTCAGCTCAACTAATGACTGGGTCACAGTCCAAGTAGGATTAGACACATACACTTGAAGACTATAAAGCCTGGGCTTGTATGCATACCTGGTCACGCAGAGCTCCATCACACATGGATGTTTGAATAGGCAAACAGCTAAGACTGTAACTACGTGAAAGCAGCATGAGAAGTCAGAAGTTCTCACCTTTGCTTTGAGGAGGGTTTTGGCTCCTGTCCCTCAAGACATTGATTTCATAGACAGCACCATACTGTTCAAAAAGTTCTCGTAGATCCTTCTCACACCAGCTCCGTGGGACCTGACCCACAAACATCTTGATAGCATCTATATCAGGTTGGTCAGGGTGATCCAGTGTGCCATTCATTTTCTTTGAGCTATGGAAAACAAGAAGGAAATTCTGTCTTATACATTTCCACAGATTCTAGATGCTATTACAGCAAGATTAAAAAAGTGTATTTCTATACCTATGTTAATGTATATGATTAAAATATACACAGAAAGAGACACTCTTGCACATTTTGAGTCCTGCATACCAGAGAATATTCAGAAACATTCACTTGCAATCTGCACTTGGCAACCAAACACTCTCAACACAGCTGTTTAAAACTTCTCTTAACATTTGTTTGCATAATGCAGTTAACATCTGGGATTGAGGACATAAATCTGCAGAGATAAACGGAAAATATCACTAGTTCAACTATGTAAAATTCTACAGGAAAAGAAACCAGTACAGGAAGAAACCTGTACTCAGTCTACCCACAGACTACTGAAGTTATCAGTAACCAGTGACAATGAGAGGATATTTTTATCATTGTTACACGTGACTATCTGGAACCATTGCCCACGGTGAAGATTTGTCTTAAAACAGAGAAACAGGTACAACTGAACAGATGAGAAGTTTCATCAAAGGTCTGCAAGGCTACGGAGCTTTCAACAATATCTGGCAGGAAAACACAGACTTAGGCTGTACTTGAATAGGTTGAGATTGGACAATCTAGTTAGCCACAGACTGAATCAAGTTGAGTAATGGTAGGGTGTTAACACAGGAAAAAAAAAAAGCCACTTCTGGGCTACACCACCACAGAGGTTTTGAGTATGGGCATCTCCCATAGGCTTCAAGACATTACATCTATCCATATGAACAGTTTACAGCCTCTTAATAAAGCTGTGTTATACTCCACCCAGCTAGTTGACAGTCCTACACTACTTTTCTATTGACTCCTGACTGTTTGTCAAGTGCAATGTGAGGTCTTGTTACTGGTAGTCACAGCCTAGTATACCACAGAACCCATCTCTGTGAAAGACTGACTGTAATGACATCCTATTGTAGCTATAGTGATTAGTAGGTTAAAATTGCTGACCAACCCCTGCATAATCTAGAAAGGGCATGGGGAGTGGAATAGTAACTATACAATGATTCCCCCCGCCCCCAAACTCTTTGTTGAAGAATAGAGGTGGTCGTCCTCTTCCAGAGTAGTCAGCTCTCTTCATCTCTGCTTTTTTCCTTTAAAGATAGTTTTTGGATGGCTTATTAACTGCATATTACAGTAAACAGAGTTCCTCTCACTGTCCATTTGCAATCATGATCCTCTCTGAATAGAGTTAAAAAAGAAAAATCCACAACAGGTAATGTTAAGTTAATGTTTCCCTCAATACACTGCTGTTCAGAGCCTAAGGGAAAAGTGATGCTAGGAAAGCTCATAATTTTATAACTGTATGAACAGACCTCAGAAACAACAAGGCTTCTTACTAGAAGGGATGGAAATCATCATAAACCATAGAATCCTTTCACTTCCCTCTATCTTTCCAGTCGGAAAGGGTCAACATCTCACCCAATATCCAGGGAAAACACTACCTTTTCGCAAAGAAGTAAACTACCTCTTTTCATTCAATACCTTTTCACTCCAATTGAGAACTGGAAACCATTAACCCTCTTCCAATAGTGATTTTCAGTACTGCCTTCTATGCCATAGGTAGCTTCAACAGCATAGCATGGCTCCTGTTAACCGAGCAACTCAACACCACCCCAACACTACTCAAGCGATCTTTCATTCCTAATTGAAAGGTTTATTCTGGAGTCATTAATAGGGAAGAACAGAAACAGTTCACCCAACAAGTGATGTAAATAACTGATTTTATCAGCACCTGTAGCATATTATAAACAGTACTGCCAAATAACTTGTACACCTCCTTAGCCCTCATCCCCCAAACTATCAGATCTTTTTTCTCCCCTATCCAGAATCTAACATCAATTGCCAATGCCCATGAGGATTTCTTCAAAAAACAAACTGCAGGCTCTCCTATCTTCCCCTCCCCCACTCCCTCTCCTGCCAAGGGAGTTCAGACAACAGAGGCTTCAGAGACAGCAATTCCAACAATAAACTTGGATATGAAGACAGAATACTTACACAGGGCTAGCATTCAAGGAGCAATGGTCCACCATCATCTCTGGGAGGAAATCCAACTTGAACGCAGCCATCACCTCAGTCTGTGACAAACTACTAACACTAAATCACTATATTGCCTAACCCCCAAACAACACCACTTCCAAAGTCCTGCAGGTCTTAACACTCAGCCACACAAAAAACACTCAAACCACAGAAGCTCAGGGAGACCAGCAATAGACACCACAGAAACAGGCTGGACTGGGAAAGGGACATGGAATCCCAGATTAAAAAGGGGATGTGACCATGTGAAGGGAGGCTCAGCTTAATACACAATGAAAATGCTGATGTACTGGGCTTGTTTTGTGCAATTTTCCCTGGCGAAGCAGTACTGAGTGTACTGTCAGATAAACAGTGTGTCAGATCCATGAAGATAGCAATGGGTAACAGAGCAGAAAGAATACAACTCCAGTCTTTCCATCCCCAACTAACTCCTTGCCTCGCAAAATAGCAGTCCGAGGCCTTGAGGTTCAGACAGACACTTCCCATATCACCAACAGTAAGGCGTGAAGTCAAGAGGTTCCTTCACCATAAAGACTTTCAATGGCTTATCTCATTCTTCACCTTATGTACTATTTTTGACACGCTCTTAACTTCTAAGGAGAAAAATGACAACTAAAGTGTTTCTCTGAACCTGCCAAAAAAAAAAAAAAAAGCTAAGATGATTTGATTGCTCAAAAATTCCTTAATGACCACAGAACATCAAAACCTACTCCTTTTATAGGAGCAAAACATATACTGTTCTGGAAGCAACACTTTATCCACCTTGCATTTACAAATCTAAAAGATATAAAGAGGGTATAGATGATAAAGAAAGAAAAACAGTGATTTGTTGAAAGCTGTTCATGATCTTTGAAAACATTGATCAGAAAACCTCAGCTGGTCAACATTAAAACAGGAATAACATGTTGATCAAATAACCACGAAGTATATTTATACACACAATACAGACCTCTTGTTAAATCTCCAATACCCAAACTAACGAGGAGATAATCTGCATAATACTGGATGCATTAGGAGACAGAGAAATATTTGATCGCAGAGAGTGAGTGCTGCAGAGGCAGCTGGGCATGTCTGAGCACTCCAGGAGGGATGATTAATTCAAGTCCAACATGAATCCAGATAAGCCTTACATATATGGTCGATATAACCACAAAATAAACTCTTAGAGCATCAAGGAATGCATGCTGGGGCAGCTGTGATCACTTCCTTCTTGCCTGTCAATGACTGCAACATGTACTTGCAGTTAATTCAGGCTGGCCAGTATACATAGCTTTCCTTATGCTTGCACGGTGACAGTATGTCAATTATTTTTTCATAAATAACTATTTCCAACCTCTAGAAAAAAAAAAAAAGCAACACCAAAAAACCCAAACCAACCATTTTCCATCCTCTGCCTACAGTGAGGTTAATTAAAAGTTTATTACAAGGCCTAACTCATTAATAAGAGATAGGCATGTTACTGCAAGGCAAGAGAAGACGTGAACTTTGCACGTATCAGATATTCAACAGCAACTACTTCGTGCGTGCTCTTACTATGTGGTAAATGCAAGAAAGCTTATTCTTTAATGAAAACAGGTATAAGCTACCTGCTAAGCACCACTGTAAGAGCATGCAAATAGGCACTAGGGAACACAGGTCAATTTATTAGCTTTCAGTAAGTTGTTCATATCTACCTTCAGACACATCTTGTAGGCTTCCCACTTGAAAAATGCTATCTTGTGTATAACACATCATATTCAAATGTTCAACTGAGGCTGGAGCCCACTTTATGGAGTTCTCTAAAACAAGCCAACAGAGAGAAACACTTCAGATTTATGTGGTTAGAACACCAGAAGATACGGTGGGGTTCCTGCCACTGTTCGCATAAATCTACAGACCAGTCTGTAAATTCTGGTCTTACCTATGAAGACCAGAATTCATTCCTTCTGGTCTTCCAGTCATCATTAGCTTTTTTAAGCAACCAGTAAAATACTACAGCAGCCATGCTCAGTGGGGGTGCGATGAAAGATGACGCTAGCAACAGATACTCTAGAAAATGGGTTTTAAAAAGGCTACCAAGACTGACTAGTTTTCTGAAGAAAAACCCGAAGTCATCCATCAGATTTGATTCTAGACCCACCCTTTCCCTCATCTCTCCATTCCCCAAAATGGAAGTCATGTCTGCTTGTTCCATTATGACAAAATTGCAACAAGTTACATGGTCACGCTGTTATACTCCATGTCAAAATCAGTCTACTTGATAATTAAAATATTAGTTCTGTGTAACTATCCTGCTACATATTAATTTTTAATTCTTGTTATGCTTATTGTAACTTCCTCTATGATGTGCTCACTTCATTTAACAGACAGTGCCAAAAATATTTCACATGCTGTTATGCATAATGTGCGGGAAAGGAAGAATCAATACTAGAATGGTGTGTAAATGGCTGAAGGTATGTTAGCCAAGCCTCAGTGCCTCAGGGTATCATACTTCGGCAGTAGTGATGGCAATTTCAGTGACAAAACACTAGTGTAAAAACAGGTTTACTGTAACATTATTTAGTTGAAGGCATCAAGCTAGTGAAATTAAAAGACTTATGGACTTGTGAAAATATCAGAAAGAGTGGAAAAAGACAGTATTTTGCTACTGTACAGAAATAAGAATAATTTTATGAGGAAGCAGTGTGTCTTTGGAATTATAAAAACCACAAAACTCATCCTAACCATTGCTCACAAAGAAAGAAAGAAAAATAAGAGAGCTAAACACCATTATTTTTTTTTTTTTCCTGCTGGCTTCCAGATCCATTCTTTGACTGTTTCTATTCAAAGGATAATAGAAACAATGTTTGACATTCCAAGCTCTATGGACTGTAGCTACACATTTAAATGTGGTGCTAATCTGACAATATGAGCATTACAAACTTCTAGATCCTATGGATTGAATCTCA